CGTACTTTTCGCGTTGAAACATAGATCTGAGACTTTCGTGTACGCGCCTATTCTACGCTGGTATGTTGGTTTGAGGGTTGCGGCACCGTTTCAGTGTTAAACGTTGGCTTGTATGTGTCCATGCCTTTCCTAGGCGAAATACGGTTTGGCCTCGTGCCTTATCCGCTGTGAATACTACATTTGCATCCATTGCATTTCTCCCCAGCAGATTGCATTTAACATACATACATTCCATTGCATATTCTAAATATTGCATTGTAGTCTGCATGTATTCACTGTATCACCCCCTCCATATATGACTTGCGCCTTTCCATGTTGAGCTTGGTCTGGTATGTGCCCGTACTTTTCGCGTTGAAACACAGATCTGAGACTTTCATGTACGCGCCTATTCCACGCTGGTATGTTGGTTTGAGGGTTGCGGCAACGTTTCTGTGTTAAACGTTGGCTTGTATGTGTCCATGCCTTTCCTAGGCAAGATTTGGTTCGGCTGCATGCCGTATCCATTGTATATATTACATTGTAGTATAATTTTTGCATCCAGCATTAGGATCATTGGTCTTTCCTCAGCGGGTCATTTCCCCACTTATGTCATTCCACCCAATTACTTGTTCTTGTGTCTGTCTACATCACTCATAGTTCTGCATGTGTACGCGCCTATTCCACGCTGGTATGTTGGTTTGAGGGTTGCGGCACCTTTTTTGTGGTTGACGGACTTTGCATCTCCATTATCTCTTTGACATTTGTGTGGTTTTGTACCGCTCGTGATTCGATTATGATTCAGTTGTATTGCATTTTCATTTGCATTATTTATACGTAGTTTTGTATATACTGCATATCATTTCGTATTCATATTGCATTGTCACGCATGTTGCTAACAATATTGTACCTGTTGAGTTTTCATTCTCTTTCAGGCACGATATTGTATGTACGGTTCATTTGAAGCTGGTGCAACCAGACGAGCCGCACAGGTATTGTATCCTCTGAGTGAGACGTATCGAGAATTGCACAATTCTCTTACATCCTTTCTGCATTGTAGTGTAGTTGGATTGATGTATGTTAGCTTAAAACCATTGCATGTTATGCTTCATTACAGCTTTTCTATGCATGATCATAAGTTATGCTCGGCTTCTTGCATTATCAGTTGCATTTTGCCCCGGCCTTCGGGCGCATATCTTTATTGTCTTGCATGCTTTGTCTAAGTCTTTGGCCTTGTCAAAAATGGGTCGTCTCTGGGCTTTGACACTCACTCCCGTCATTCTTATGACTTTCGAGTTCTGTCAAGGAGGGGCAACTGTAGACACCCCATTTTTGACCGTCCTCAAGACTTGGACGTCACCGTTTAAACACTCGATGATCATCCCTGTTTGTGTTCGTCTTGAGTTCCCGGAGGTCTCGGCTACGCACCTTGCCTCAGGATCTCTCGACTCGACTGTTTTGTGTTTGGGTTTGCACCAAACACTTGCGTTTTTGCTTTGGAGGGCAGGAAATGGCTTGTTGGCCATCCCCACACCCCACCGGCCATGGCTTGAGGCCACCGACTGTGTTTTGTTGCCATCGGCCAAATGTTTGGCCGACCGGTACTCTAGATGGTCGACTGGCCATCTATTTTGGTCAAATTGCATTTTTGGCTGGCCGACCACTGTTCATCTGCTTTTGCAGATATTTTTATGCCAGTTGTGCTAGCTGGCATACACTTTGCTCCCCTCCATACACGTGTATGGAGGGATCTCCCTCTTGACTAGCTTGTTTGGAAAGCTTTACAAGATGGATTGTCTATATGAAGGAGGCTCTTCTCCCTCCATAAGGGTTACAACATTTTTCCAGAGGGCTCTGATATTAGGGTTAGAGTTTGTATCTATTCCATCTCTATATCTCTCTCTCTTTTTGCCTTGTGTGTGTGTTTAGTCTTACTATTGCAAACAAACACCTAGTCTTACACCTTTCCTTAGTTGCTGAGGCATTGGAGGGTTGATCTTGGACTTTTTCAGCTGGTTTTGATCCAAGAAGAGGTCTGGTCTTGTGATCTTGGGAGTGATCTTCAAGGGTGAGTGTTCTGGCCCTTTATTCCCCATTTTTGCATCGCATTTTTGACTATCTTGAAACTATTTTTAGGCTTTGCATATAACATATAAAATTTCCATTTTTACCTACTTAAAATAGTTGTTTAGGTTGCTTTGAGCTTTGGGGTTGTTTGACCCCTCTTAGGGCTTGTTTGGCCCCATTTTGGGCCATTTTGGTTGAGCTCCGGGACCACCTTGTTTGGGCCTTCTCACCACTGAAATCTTGAGCGATTTTAGTGGTGAGGATGGTGCCTTGATGTCCTAGGAAGGAGAGGGCCACCCCCTCTCCTTGTTGTCTTCAAAATGTGCCATTTAAGCCTCATGTGTGAGCACCATTTTTGAACTCATGTTGGCCATGTTTCAGTAGGTATTTGGTAGTATTTTGCCATGCTTTACCTCTATTTTTACTTGGTTTAGACACACCATGCTTGCTTAGCATACATGTCTTGTAATGCCATGAATTGCCTTAACATGCCTTGTGCTTTGAGCCTTGTTTTTAGCATGTTTTTGGCTTAGCTTTGTGAAGCTTTTATGCTTGTTTTAGCATGAGCATGTCATCCTTGCATCATTTCAGTGGTTTGGAACCACTTTCCATGCCATTTCTGTCCTTGTGGTGTGCTTGTATGCTTGCATTTGATATCCTTTTAATGTGTTGGAAGTTTGGTGTTTCATACCCCATGTTTGTGCTATTATGTATGCCTCAAGGATTAGATCATTTAGATGCCATCTAAGTGGTTTTTTGGGCCTACTTTTGCATGATTTGAGACTGTTTTGATTCACTTTGATCATTTGTTTCATGTGTCACATGATCATGGTTTAAGTCATTGGGCTAATCCCAAGCTTTTATGCATGCTTTGCTTGTTTTGATTAGTTGGTTTGGCACCTCTTTTTCATGATTTTCAGAGCTTATATTGCTTGCCATATGCCCATGTTTAGACTCTTTTAAGTGTGCTTAGAAGTTGCTTCTTTATGCCTAAGTGATGAACCATGTTTGCATGCATGATTGTATGTTTAGATACTTGGTTCAGGACATTTTGTTACATGCTTGAATGATGTTGCATTTGGCATGCATTTCTTGCTAAGTTGTCCAACATGATATATGCCTTGCATGTGTGCATATTGACATTAAACTTTGCATGCTTGTTAGTTGCATCCTTGCATCTTCATTTACATGCTCATGTTGCATACTAGCTCACATGGCTAGGTTGCATTGCATTGAGCATGCATGCCTTGTCTCTTGATCAAGTGATAGAGGTTGGGCCTTATGTGTTTGTTTGCATTTCATTTGAAATCAAAATGCACAACTTGGCCTCTTTGGCCATCACGCATTGAAATATGAGATTGGTGGTCCGAGGGTCAAGCACCGCCCTCCTTTTGAGTCATAAACATGATAAGGAGTGTGGTTGGTGCAAACATTGCTTGAAATACATTGCCACGCCATGTTTTGCCCTCTGCTGCTGTCAAAACAGGTTGCTGCAGGAAGCTTCGGCCGGCCGGCCATCTATACTACCGACCGACCAATTATTGATGGCCGAGAGCTCAACAAATGGTCGATGACCATCCAGACATGGTCGGTGGGGTTTCCACTTGGTCGGTGGTGATCCACAGTGTCCATGGGGCATACCTTGGGATTTGTCTAATTTTCAGAGGAGCAGTGCAGGCGAAACAGAGGCAACTTGTGCATGGCAGTGGACTTCCGAGCGGAACCGAGCGCGCACGCATTGGGCCCTCTTCCGGAGGCTGCTTTTAATTCTTAATTAGCTTAGTTAATTTGCTTAACTAGTTAATTGTCTGTAATACTTAATTAGCTTGATAGTTAGTTAAATTGTAATATTCTTTCGGTGCTTTCGAGCGAGGGCAAATTTGTAATAAGTGTGGGTGCGTGTGTGCATGTCTTCCAACCCCCACTTCTTTCTCCCTTTTACTTACCTGCTTTGATGGTTAGTATTAGGGCATATTTAAATTAGCATACCTTATGCTATGCATGCGTGCATCCATACATTTATCTTCCATGCACCGGGCTCGGCGCATCATACTGACTGCATTGTATTTCAATTCCAAGTTGAATACGTGTCAGTTGTAACATCTCACATGTCATTCTTAGAATAGGCTAGCCTATTTCTAATTGCATTTTGCATGTGTTGCATTAGCCATCTTAAGCATTAACTAGGGTCATGCATGATTACTAACTAGTTCCTTGTTTTGGCTTGGAGTACTCGGTAAGCTTTTATGCTTTAGCATCTCGCATGAGTGTGAATGTTAACATGATAGCACACTTACCATGTGGATAGATGCTTATGTGATATGAACTGCCTGAATGCCTGTGGGTGAAGGTTGGATTGTTTGAGTTGGGATAATTCATCGAAGTCTGTATTTTAGCCTACTCGCAAGTAGCAAAATTCAAACCATTTTCCAAACAAACGAAAATGCAATGCTTCGTTCCGACTTTGGCAATTTAGTCTATACTTGTCTTGCCGTATGCATCACATAGTAATTCTAGGTTAATAACCGGTATAAGAACACATAATGTTTTCAAAATTGGATATAATGGTTTGTAGAGGCCGATCTTCGGATCGGGCGAGAAGGGATGCTCATAATTGACCTTCCCCAATCGTACCCAAGTTCCCGAGCCGAGGCAACTTTGGTAATGACGGACACGTGGCCTTAGGCAAACGAGTTAGGGTTTCCAAAATTCTCTCATTAAAAAATATTTAGGTGGCGACTCTGTATCTGGCAAAGCAGTCCATGTTTGGCACTCCTTTTCTAAAAATCTGTTTTCTCAAAATGATTTGCCGGATTTGGACTCTTTGGTTCAGACTAAGAACCGTGACACAAGAGGGAGTCCGAACTGTGGTGGCATAAAGCCCGAGGGCACGTCCACATGCCCCTATTGATATTACGCTTAATAGTTTTGAAGAAGAAACTACTATTTCTATCCCCCTAACTAAGGCACTGGACTCTAGATTTCTGGTGAGCCAAACTCTCTTCAACAGCCAGGAGGTCAACATGTTGCTTATAGATATTGCGCTCAAGTTTTTGCAGATCACTATTACAAAGATCCTTGTCCAACTTACACTGAGCAGAGAAGAGCTCAGATTTTGAAGTTTGGACTCTAGTAGTAATATCACTAAAGTCTTTCTTGTTCAGAGCCTTTAATTCAGGCTTCAAATATTTCAATTTTTGACACACCCTGAACATAGGAAGACCGTGAATATACTGATTCCACACTATAGAAACCACAGAGCTAAAGTCCTTATGGTCAACCCAAAAGTCAAAATATTTAAAAGGTTTTTTAAAAGAAGTCACCTTGTCAGAGACATTAACCACAGCAGGAGAGTGATCAGATATACCAGAGGGTAAAAAAGTAGCAAAAGAGGTAGGAAAGGTGTCCAGCCAAGCTTCATTAACCAACACTCTATCTATTTTGGTTCCAATGTAATCCCCACTAGTTCTCTTGTTAGCCCAAGTAAATTGGCAACCCCCATAGGAGAGATCAACCAGTTCAGATTTCAAAATGTATGAATTGAACTCCTCTTTGTCCTTAGACCAGCTTACAGAACCCCCAAATTTCTCATAAGGGTATCTGATAGCATTAAAGTCCCCAAGTATCACAATAGGAGTTTTGGACTGCAAATGGGATATAGCAGCCATGTACTAAAAAAGGCCTTTTCGAATATCAGGTTTATTATCAGCATAAACAAAACAGACTTTGAACATATTATCAGAAGAAAGGTCATGAACTTCACAAAAAATATATTGATCAGAGGCAGATAATAAAGTAACCTTGCAAAAAGCTAGGTCCCAGCAGACACAGATCCGCCCAGATTTAGAAGGTTGTGAGTTTGTCAAAAAGGGCCAATTGTTTATACCAGAAAAAATCTGCTGTTCATTTAAAGCTTTTATTTTCGTTTCCAAAATGCCCAAAATTTTAATGTCTTCAGTCAGCAAAAATTTCCGAACTTCTTTATGTCTCTGAGGATTATAAAAACCTCTGGCATTCCAAGATGCCATTTTTAAAGACATTAGAAAGAACAAAAATTTTGAAACCCACAAGCTAGCTAAACTGCGATTTACCTGCGTTTCTTCCTCTGGCTTTTGTTACCTTTGCCAGAGGAGTTACCTTTTGCCTTAGTACCAAGTTTAGCCTGCTTGGTAGCTGAACTACTACGAGTGGTTTCCACTAGTTTCTCCACTTTAGCCAGCAATTCTGCATCATTGGGAAGAACCAAACTGGTAATTTCCAACAATCCCTTCAGCAAAGCCTCTAAACCATCCATTTTGGGGACCTCTATCTCCCCCCCCCCCCTCTCCAGTTGGACTAGACACTGCTATTAGGACTTGATTAGCCAAGTTTTCATCAGGCTCCTCCTAAAGAGGCTCTTGTTGTTGACTCTGCCCCACATCAGGCTCCTGCAAACCAGCCTCCTTCGAAGTTGCAAAATTTTCTGTCACTGTAGGAGTTTCTAGGATATCCACCTTCCTCTTGCCCTTGGCCTTGACAGTTTCCCATCCAGGATATGGGTTGTCTTCTGTTTGTTTCTGGAGGTTGATCAAGGCAGCCACTTGAGTCTTAACGCATTTGGTAGTGTCATGCCCAAAGATTACACGATGGTCACACTTTGGGGGTAAACCTTGATATTCAACCCCAACTACAACATCTTCATCCTCACAATTGGCACTGAACATCGATGGGAGGTTGGATGTTGCTTCAACCTCCACACAGACCCGGGCAAAGGACACTCTACTACCCTGTTCTGTGAGTTGGTCCATTAATAACGGAGTACCTTTAGCACTTGCAATCCGGCTCAGCCCATCACTATCCCAATACTCGAAAGGCACATTGAAAAACTTAGCCCATACAGGAACCGTAGTTGCCTTTTCGTTTGACAACTTCATCATCCGAGTCCATTTTTTCAGAAATAGGTTTGAACCACCAATATACCAGGGCCATCCTTCAAGGACGAAACTGCAACAATCAGGGCTCTCAAAAATGAAGAAGCTAAAGCGTTCTCCATTTTCTAGGACTTCCTTCAAACCCTTGTTTTTCCATAAAGCAAAAGCACTATTTTTCAGGTAGTTATAAGATAACCCCGTTATCCAGAAAATACCCTACCAAACATGAGTCCCACTTCTCTAAGGGGTAGGGCCTTGGGGGAAGACTCACGCTAACATAGCCATCACTACGATTAAGGGGAACATACCTCAAAGGAATAGTAGATCGAGATGAGGACGCAGCCACATCAGCCCTTGTTTTTCCATAAAGCAAAAGCACTATTTTTCAGGTAGTTATAAGATAACCCCGTTATCCAGAAAATACCCTACCAAACATGAGTCCCACTTCTCTAAGGGGTTGGGCCTTGGGGGAAGACTCACGCTAACATAGCCATCACTACGATTAGGGGGAACATACCTCAAAGGAATGGTAGATCGAGATGAGGACGCAGCCACATCAGCCCAGGATTTCGTATTGCCTTGACCTCTACCTCCCCCTGACCCTCTACCTTCTCTACCACCTCTGAAATTTGAAAGCCCTCCCCTTCGAGAAGCTATATCCTCGCGACCAACATCACCGAAGTCAGACGTCTGCAAAGGGGTCTCTTCAGTACCTTGAGCAACCTCTACAGAGACAGGATTCCCTTCCTTCTCTGTTTCTATAGGTAGATCTAACAGGTTATCGCCATGGCCCTTACCATCAAACCTGTTTCGAGCAACTAGGATACTATCAGGGAGGTTTTAAAACATAGGAGTTTCAAAATCCGTATGCTCAGACCATCGCGCTGAGGATATAGAACCATCGATAGATGGCGATGTCATTATCGATGAAGATGGGTCTTTCATTCTCGCCAAACGATCTGCTACTCTCTGAAGATCTGAGGGTTATACCATTAGAGCCCTTCGTTCTACCTGATTCAAGGCTTTCCCCACAACATCAGTGTCATTAGGGTGCACTAGATTGAAAACAACCTCGTCGATGTTATCCGTAGTCAGATCCATGTTAGCTTCACTCAAAATTCCAAATCTATTGCTCACAAACCCTAACTTATCACTCACTTTTCCCACCTTAGGAAGTATCTCATCTGTAACCCTTTCCCGTAAACACAAAGGACTCTCAGAATTAGGCAACGCATTAACTCCTAACATCATAATCAATGAGGAATTGAAACCCTAGAAACACAGGTTTCTAGAGAGATGCGGGAGCTTCCCACTCTAACCCATGTTAGAAAGGGAATTTTCAAAGTTTTTTGAGCACTATTACACACACAATCTAGAGAGAGATGGAGATATAGAGAGAGAGTGATATATATGTTGTATATCAAAGTTGTTCAACCTCTGGAAAGTGAGGGGAGGCCTTCCCTTTATAGAAAAATCAATTTACAAAGCTTCCAAAGGAAGCTAAGGATGAAATCCCTCCATACACGTGTATGGAGGGCAGAGTTTGTGCTCACCAGCTGGCACAGCTGGCATGCACAATGCATGAAAAAGGCAAAGAAAAGGTGCCGGCCAGAAAAGGAGTCGATCGACCAAGACAAAGGCCGATCGGCCACAAAAGGGGGCCAGTCGGCCAAACATTTGTCCGATAAGGGCAAAACATGGCCGGTGGCATCATGCCACAGCCGGTGGGTTTCAGTGATGGCTAACAAGCCACTTCCCACACTCAGAAGTACAAAACACAAGTGTTTGGTCCACAACCAAGCACAAAACAGGCAAATTAAGAGATCCTGAGGCAAGGCGCATGGCTGAGACCTCCGGGAACTCAAAACGAATGCAAGCATGGATGATCACCGAGTGTTCAAACGGTGACGTCCAAGTCTTGAGGACAGTCAAAAATGGGGTGTCTATAGTTGCCCCTTTTTGACAGAACTCGAAAGTCATAACAATGACAGGAGCGAATGTTAAAGCCCAGAGATGACCCATTTTTGATAAGGCCGAAGACTCAGACAAAGCATACAAGCTAGAGACGAAGATATGCTCCCGAAGGCAGGGGCAACATGCAAGAACAATACACAAAGCCGAGCATAACTTATGATCATGCAAAGAAAGCTGTAACGAAGCCTAATATGCAACAGTTTTAAGCAAGCTAAAAACTAAACTACATTACAATGCAGAAAGGATGTAAAAGAATCCGAGACCTCCGAGAACTCCAAACGAACACAAACATGGATGATCACCGAGTGTTCAAGCGGTGACGTCCAAGTCTTGAGGACGGCAAAAAATGGGGTGTCTACAGTTGCCCCTCTTTGACAGAACTCAAAATTCATAACAATGACGGGAGCGAATGTCAAAGCCCAGAGACGACCCATTTTTGACAAGGCCGAAGACTCAGACAAAGCATACAAGCTAGAGACGAAGATATGCGCCCGAAGGCAGGGGCAACATGCAAGAACAATGCACAAAGCCGAGCATAACTTATGATCATGCAAAGAAAGCTGTAACGAAGCCTAATATGCAACAGTTTTAAGCAAGCTAAAAACCAAACTACATTACAATGCAGAAAGGATGTAAAAGAATTATGTAATTCTCGCTACGTTTGATGTGGAGAATACAATACCTGTGCGGTTCGTCTGGTCGTGCCAGCTTCAAATGAACGGTACATACAATATTGTGCCTGAAAGAGAAAGAAAACTTAACAGATACAACATCGTTAGAAGTATGCATAACAATGCAATTGAAAGGTGCGTGACAACGCAAGTGAAGTTGTGCATAACAATGCAATGCACTAACAAGTGCTGGTAGAGTGCGCAAGATAGCGCGATTGAAATGCATGCAAAATGCAATGGGATGTAATGCACTAACAAGTGCATGTATGCAGTGCGCAAGATAGCGCGATGCACAAAATAGCAAGATTGAAATGCACAAGATAGTGCGATTGAATGCATGCGAAATGCAAAGAGGATGCACAAAACAATGCGATGCGCAAAATAGAGCGATTGAATGCATGCAAAATGCAAAGGGATGCACAAAACAGTGTGATGCGCAAAATAGCGCGATTGAATGCATGTAAAATGCAAAGGGATGCACAAAACAATGCGATGTGCAAAATAGCGTGATTGAATGCATGCAAAATGCAAAGGGATGCACAAAACAATGCGATGCACAAAATAGCGCGATTGAATGCATGCAAAATGCAAGGGGATGCACAAACAGTGCGATGCGCAAAATAGCGCGATTGAATGCATGCAAAATGCAAGGGGATGCACAAAACAGTGCGATGCGCAAGATAGCACGATTGAAATGCATGCAAAATGCAATGTGAAATGTAATGCACTAACAAGTGCAGGTATGCAGTGCGCAAGATAGCGCGATGCGCAAAATAGCGCGATTGAAATGCACAAGATAGTGCGATGCGCAAAATAGCGCGAATAAAATGTATGCAAAATGCAATGAGATGCGCAAAACAGTGCGATAAGGTGATAATGTAGTAGATACAAAAGGGTGTATAAACACATGTAAGTAAAACACACGCGAAAACGTATGCAATGTGTATAGGAACTTGAACACATATAAGTAAAGCATAACACGACAACGCATGCAATGTGTATAGGAACTTGAACACATATAAGTAAAGCATAACGCAACAACACATGCAATGTGTATAGTAACTTGAACACATATAAGTAAAGCACGACGTGACAACGCATGCAATGTGTATA